CCCAGACTATTCTTTACAGTTTTGGAAGATTCCTCCTGTAGAGGGACGTGCCCGACTTAAAGTTAGCCTCTGGCCATTTCTCTTGCATGGAGGCGGGGGGGGGGGGCGTGGCGAGGCCCGAAAGGAAGTCTGGACTTCACGCGAGTCGGGACTCGGGACTCAACTGCAAGCCTTTCCGGCCAAGCGCTGTTGTTCGAAAAAGCAGCCAAGGGGAAGGGGGGGGGAATGCCATGCGAGCGGAGTTACGACAAAGCGCGCCCTTGGCTGGGGCCCAGGCGGTGCGCATCCAAGACCAGCCACCCAGACCCCCGACGTCATGATTTGTTCACAACGTCGACCCCCGGAGGTCTCGACCCGTTCGCCGGGGCTGGCTTCTCATCCCGAGTCGTGTTCTATGGCCCCGAAGACCGATAAGGACCCCCCTGGGGCCGAAAGTTGCAGAAGACCTCCCGGCATCACAGTCGGACCTATAGGCCAGAAGAACACCCTTCAAGAACACGAGACCCTCCGCTGGCAAAAGCCAGCAGAACATCCAAGGGTACCCTCCCCACGATGCACGAGAGCATCCCACACACACACACACACACGAAGAGCACGAGGGGTACCCTCACGATCCTATACCTTGGACCGGCAACCTTTTCCACGACGCGAGGGGGTCTGCGATGGGGGTCTGGCCAGAGCGCCCCCCCCCCCGAGGGCAGTGCAGCGGCGTCAGCCCCCGGAGCGGTTCGCGCGCGCAGGCGTCGGCGCCGTACCGCAGCAGCAGCTGGATCACCCCTGCGGCCGCCGCGGGCGGCGCCCGGCACGCGAAAGTTCGAAGGAGAAGCGCCGGCACGGAAAGGGGCTGATGAGAGGCCTCCTGGCCGGGGTCGGAGTGGCTGGGCTCGGAGGATCGCGCCACATCGCCGATACGTCGGCGCGATGCGTCGGCGACGCCAGCGTGGAGAAGGTCGGGCTCCACATCGAGCCAGGTCGTCGATGCACCGACGATGCGGCGCGATCCTCCGACACCATCCATCTGCTCGGACCCTATCTAGGAGGCCTACAGATCAGAAGCTTGTGTTCGATTGAGTTCTGAAGAGTCTGTGCGCATGGAGGGGCGGAAGGGGGGTGAGCGGCGAGGCCCGAAAGGAACTCTGGGCTCCAAGCAAATCGGGACTCACGTGCACGCCTCTTCAGCCCAACGCTGGTTGAGAAGGCGGCGAGGAGGGGGGGGAGATGGGGAGGATAGAGGGTAGCGACATGCCACCATGCAAGCAAACTTGCCAGAATCGTGAAGACAAATGCCCCCAGGTCTCCGACACCATGACTTGCTCGATCCCGGCGTGGTTCCTCGATGTCCCCTCGTATCAAGGCGTTGCGATATTTTTTGCACCGGGCGTTTTCGCCCGTTTCCGGCCCTGCGACATTCACACATCGATCCAGCTCGACACATGCCGTGCAAAGATGGGGTCTACATCTTCGCTTGTGATCTTCTTGCGATGTTGTAGCTCGTTCACCAAGTCGGATCTTAGGGTCGACGTCTGGGGTTAGTTTCGGATCCTGCGTGGACCATACGAAAATGAAAACTACCACGAAAACATGTCACCTCGGATGTTTGAGGGAAGGGGTGACCGAAGAAACGATACCCTCCCGAGTATCCATTGGTAAAGGCGGTAACATAGACTGATGGACGTTGATGGTCTTACCCTTCTCCACAAGCCCAACAATCGGAGCATGTCACCAGTCGGATGGCCAATACGTGCGAGCAAGCAAACATTGACGGTCCGCGCCCAAAAGTCAGGTGTGTGCATTGTAGTTCTTCTATGCATGGACCGTCAGCTTCAAATATCCGCCACGAAAAACTGGTGGGCTTGCTCTCCACCGCCACCACCATGAGTAGGAGGGGGAGGGGGCCCTCCTGGTCCTCCTCCTCTTCCTCCTCTTCTTCCTCCACCTCCCTCCCCCCTCCAGCTTATGGTGGCGGTGGTGGTGGGCAACATGCCCATCAAAAACTGCCCCCCCTCCCCCCCTGGGCAGCGGTCGGGACCTCCTGGGCTTAAGTCGGGCCTGTCCCCCTACAGGAGGATTTTCACGAATTAAAAATACCCCCAAAAAATTCAAAACATAGTCCAAAAAACAGTCTGGGGACTATTTTTCTAGTATTTGTTTGACCTTTTTGGGACATTCTTGGGGTATTTCTTGTTTTTCGCCGAAACTCCCCCTGTAGGGGGACACGCCCGACGTAATCCTGGGGTCGCGGATTGAGCACACCTCAGCTCGGTGGCCGTCCTGGGGATCTGCGGCGGCCCGCGCGGCCTCCTCGTGTCGGCGCGCCGGGGCCACCCTGGCCCGCGGCGGCGCCCGGCGCCACCGCTCGGACGTCCACTCCGTGCGCCTTTTTCGGTTCCGTGCGTGGTGTTTGTCGCCGAATGGTCAAGGATGCTCCTCGAGGGTCCTCGCCGAAGGAAAAAGGCGCACGTCCGAGCGAGGCCAGGGCGCCCGGCGTCACCGTTGCATCTTGGGGGGGGGGCCTCGTCTCGGGGGTTGCCAAAGGGTGCCCCTTGGCCCACAGGGGCCCCCCGCTCTTCGCCTCACTCTTGAGCCCGCGGGGGCCCCCGTGGGCCTCGTGAGGGGTGCTCCGGAGGCCTTGGGGGCCTCCTTGGAGATCCTGGGAGCACCTTGGGCCAGGTGCACTTCTGGCAACCCCCGACTGTCTTTCTCTCTCATCGCGCAACTAGCCGCGCCGAGTCCACGTCGAACGTCGAATCCATGTCGAACCCGCGTCGAATAGCAACTGGCCCAAGAAAAAACACCACTCTGAACAACAGGCAAAACCCCCTGGAGATGCCGCGTACCTGGCGGCGCCGCCGGAGCGTGCCAGGGAACGCAGACCACTGGGTATCCGACTTTTTGCGGTCGCGATCGGTAGCCACCGATCGGCGCTCCGAATCGGTCGCGACCGAGGGCGACCGATTTTGAACCGTCGATCGCGACCGATACCAGAATTTCAATCAAAATCGGCAGCGACCGATCCCGTCGGTCGCGACCAAAAACCTCTGGCAGCCAATGGTCAGGAAAGGGGGCCGGGGCCCAGCGCCTGTCCACGAAGTCCGAGCGGGCCTCCGAACGTTGGCGCTCGTGCGGTCTCTTCCTCTTCGAGAAGTGGAGGCCGGTGGCCCCATTGCCGAGGTCGCGGCAGTGGACGACGTCTGGCTCCTCCCGCAGCAGCGCCTCAACGCGGGCCGCGTCGCCCTGGAAGCAGGCGCTCAGCAGGTGGGGCCCGCTCACCTCGAGGCCTCCCAAGTGGGGTCCGAACAGATGGGGTCGAAGGATCGCGCGGCACTGCGTCGGCGACGTCGGCGACGCATCGGCGATGTCGGCGTGGAGGACAGCGGGCTCCCCATCGAGCCGCACCGCCGATGCATCGGCGATGCGGCGCGACCCTCCGCCCCCATCTGCTAGGTCCCCATTTGGGAGGCCTGGAGCACCCGCAGCCGCCGCAGGTACGAGGCGAGATCGCCGTGGCCGTGGCGGTCGCAGAACTGCTCCACCTGCTGCGGCAGCGCATGGGGTGCCATCCTGCTGGCCCCCGAGAATCGACACCAGCCGACGCCAAATCGGCACTATCTCATCGACGACCAGAGACCACCAGCGCACGCCAAGGCACTCCAAAAACTGAATGCCATGAGGTCCAACGGGGCGACGCATGCAGCATGGCAGAGAAAGCATTTCCGAAGCCCCAGACCCCATCCTTTTGATGCAGCTCTGTGAGCCGGTTCGATCTACGAGATGTCCCCGGGCCCGAATCCAGGCGAAAACACAAGATGTGGACAACAAATCAACGCCCGGATCAGAAGGTTTCGAAGAAATGCACTGCGCCCATACCCCTGCTTGGATTTAAGAAGATGATGCGTTAAGGAAACGGCCTTCCCTCAAGGCGTCTTCTGAAACCGTAGTCCGGGTTCAGAAATACGACAACTTGTACGATGACAGACTTTTCTTTTCCCAGTCCAGATTCTTAAGTGCTCTCAGACGAAATCTGCAGTCCATGAAAGTTGGCACGATTTCGCTAGCTGCCTGATGGGTGTTAAAAGATGTTACCGAATCTTATGTTATGTTGCTCCCATCGTACTTCAGGACCTCATCCCTGAAACAATTTCGAGCACCTGGAAAAGTTCCGACAGAGTGTCAAAAGAGTGTCGAAACAGTGTCGGATGAGGGTCTCCCAGGGCCCGGCACGTGAACCCTCGAGTTTCGGTACATTTTCCTGGTGCTCGAGATTCTTTCTGGCGATCAAGGCTAAAGCAGGTTGGAACATCGAAACCGAATCCACCGTGGACCCGCCGTTCATCTTCGCCTCGCCGCACGCCTCCCCCGGCCGGTGCCTCCCGGCGAGCCGCGCGCGCGCCAGCACCCTGCCGGTGGCGAGGCACCCGCTGCCGTTCACGTTGGCCAGATGGTGCAGCGGCGTCATGCCCTGCCTGTCTGTCCGGGGCCCCCAAGCTCGAGTAGGGGATCGACTGCAGAGATGGTTTAGCCCAAAATTGACGTGTTCGTCAAGAGCTGCAAAAAAACGTCGAATGCCCCGCAGATCTAGGAGCACTAGAACCGTACTTTGTAACTCCGACGAACAAATAAATTGTGGGGTAAATCGATGATGTAGTCGATCCCCTACTTGAAGAACGTGTGGTGACGGATTGCGCGGCGACTGGTTGCGTAATAATCAACTCTGCCCCCCAAACAAACATAACTGCCCATGTTGTGCATCAGCTAGCAAAATCTCTGTCGCTATATTGTTCATTGGGGGCCACGTCTACATCGCAGAGGGGGGGGGCTGGGAAGGTGCATGCCACTCCTCAATTGACAGAAACATTGCCCCGACGTGTGGCGGCCGCGATCGCCGCGGCGGCCTCAAAACCGACCCGGAGGTTTGGTTCGGGGTCGGATACCGCGCAACGGAACACCGTGACGGACCGCGCGGTGACCTCGAAACCCTCGAAGCCCCCAAGAAACCTCACCGCACGTCCTTGGGGACCTCGGAGGCCCCGGTCGTCCGAGACGTCCTCGGGAACGGCCAAGGTCGCCGAAGGCCCAGGGAGACTCACCACGCAGCGTGGTCACCACACCGCTCGGGGGGGCCCCGAGTCTGGCAAATCCGGATCAACCCCGCGCCGGAGCAGCTCCAGAACTGGAGGAACAAAGAGAGGCACAAACATAATGCCTCGGAGGTCCGGGCCGATCTCCTGGATCGGCGCTGGACCCGAGCGCGCCAAGGGCCGCGACGGAGGCGCCGCCGGGGCGGGGGGGCCCAATGCCGATGCGAGAAATCCGCGCGGGCCTCCGAGAGACGCTGTGCTTCTGCCCTCTCTGCTCCTCGGAGCACGACGTCCGTGTGCCCACGGCAGGCGGCGAAGTGGATGGCCGCCACCCCGGATCCTCCGCACGGGGGAGGCGGACCCGGAGGGAAACGGGTCCTGGCCACTGGGCCCTTGCCCCAACACGAGAGCTTCATCCTGCGCCGTTTCCGACAGTCCTGGGGCCCGTGGAGGGCCCCGAGAGCCCGAGAACGGCGAGAAACCTCAGGACACGCTTCCCTCAAAACCCGCTTCGCCCCATGGCGAGATCCGCTCTCGTCGCCGCTGCACGGGTCCACCCTGGAGTCGAGCACCGCACAGGCGAGGCGAGCGTCTCCTGCCCACGCCGCCTGCAACAGCCTGCGGACCTTGCACCGCTCCCCGCCGCTTCTGGGCGAAGCCGGCGCCGGCGCCACCTGGGCAACCACGCGTGAGCCCTGCAGTCAACACGCAGAATAAGGACGCACGATGAGGATGCAGGGGCCTTGGAAAACCATGCCGACACTCTGCGGGTGGGGCGCGGCCTGCGAAAACGGCCAAGGATGGGCCGACGGGGAAGGATGCAAGGGTACCCATGGAAAGTCGCTCATCCTTACTATGCGGGTTGAACTCTACCCCAGCAGGTAAGATTTCTGAAAAACCGGCTGGGGTTCAGAATTCGAAGGATGTATGTAGCCAAGTGAACCCCAGCGAGGGTTCCTCATACCCCAGAGTCGATTGGAGCCGCAGTTACGTCGCATTTTCAAGGGACCTTCCCGTCGTGCAGAATTCATCTCGGATTCGTCGAGTCCGCGTCGAATCCACACCGAATCCACATCGAATCCACGCCACATTCGCGTCGAGTCCGCGTTGACCCCGCGTCGAGCACAAGAAAAGATACCAATCTGGGGGAAATGGCGAACGAAGAACACACACACATACCCATAGGAGGGTCGGAGGGAGGAGGACTGGCTGTGGGTATGAGTGCGGGTTGTCGGACCCTGCGGGTTGCTCCCGTTTGAGTGGGGACCCCCATCCGACAACACGCATCCGTCGCCCCCTCCGTCCCACCTGTGGGTATGGGTGCGCGTTGCTCGTTCATCAGGACAGGCGGGGTCCCCCGAAGATGCAACGTAGCCGCAGGCGCAGGGTTCGCAAGTGTTCGCTCCGAGCCACCGCAGCTGCTGCCCCGGGAGGGCGGCCGCTGGGCGGCTGCGGGTGCGGCTCCGGAATGCCCAGGGCCAGGTCCGCCACCGTGCCGCGAAGCACGAGCTGGAGTCCCTGAGATCCTGGCGCCTCTATGTTTTCGAGCCGGGCGTTCTCGCCTTTGTTCGGGCGAAGGGGCCCTCACAAATCGATGCGGCTCGAAAAATGACGCTGAAAAATGGGGTCTAGGGTCTAGGGCTCCCAACGTCGGATCTCAGGGGTGCTGCTGCATGGAAACGGGTTGGCGTCCGAGTGACAATTCCCCCCATCATCAAACTAGACTTAGGTCGGGCATGTCCTCCTACAGGGGGATTTGGGACGAAACGCAAAAAAATGCCAACAAGTACTTAACAATGATCAACAATAGTTAAACAATCGTACCCAGACAAATTTTGTACTATTTCTGAATATTCCTCCTGTAGAAGGACATTGAGCAGGGCTCGACCGTCCCGGCATTCCTATAAGCCTACCACGACATATTCTTAAACCCCAAAGTGGTCGAACAAGAAAAACAATGTTCTTAGAACATAAGCCCGATGTGTTACAACAAGACGGTCCCAGCCAGAAAAGGACCTAAGAACATTTCGTGGAAACCACAGACAAGGTTCTTAGAACACTGTTTGGTAGCCTATAGGCACGCCAGGACGCTTCGCCACTGCTTGAGGACACGCCCGGCTAAAACCAGACTTGGGTCGGGCTCGTCCTACAGGCGGATTCTGTGCGATATATATATATATATAATACCCAAAAAAATGCTCGACACTTGTCAAACATGGTAGACAATCGTCCCCAGACTATGTTTTGACTACTTTTTAAACAAATCCCCAAAAATGCTCGACACTTGTCGGACATGGTAGACAATCGTCCCCAGACTATTTTTTGACTACTTTGTTTAAGATGCCCCCTCTGTAGAGGGACACGCCCGAATAAAAACTTGGACTGATCGGCCGTGGCCCTTCAGAAACGGGCAAGGTCCAAGGGGCCCAGGGACACACAACAGTACATACACACATACAGTTTCCAGGATGCCCCACAGATTTGTCCACTTCTCCTGGGCTCTCGCCTTCCCCCCCCCACTTCCCATGTTCTCCAATGTTGTCCTGGGAGTCGACGTTGACACGTCGTTCGATTCTGATCGTGCTCACTTCTAATCGTGCTCGTCTCTAATTGCTCCTGGCCCCCCAGTGGCCAGGAAGAGGCCCAGGATAGAACAACTAGAAACGAAAGGACCTTGACCCCTAACAAAAATCACGGATCGTTCGAAGACTCAGACATGAACAATGTGCAATCCTCGGCTATACGCAAAGAGTGACCCTGGCTGAGAGTGACCTTTGGTGCGCGACTTTTTGGGGGGCCGCGGGGGGACCCAACCTGGGCGCGCAAGCAGCTGCTACTGCTTCGTCTTCAGCCATCTGGGGACCCATCTGTTCCCGCACCAAAGGTCACTCCCACGAAAGGTCACTCTTACGTCTAGTCGACGGCCCTGGGACACACAAATAAGTAGACACAATTAGCAGGATTCCCTATGTCTTCCCATATCTTCGGGGTTCTTGTCTTCCCCCCCCTTCCAATACTTTCTTATCTTTTTTGGGGGTTATCGACGATTCATTGTGCCTGAGTGTGTTTTTCCCCTCCTGTCGGCGGTGGACAAACCTCCCTTTAGTAAACCTCCGCTTAGTGAAAGAACGGCCTGGGACCGAAACCGACGGACCCGGACCCGCAAAAGTGACGGCCTGGACGCCCTCTCGCGAACCGAAAACGGCCAATTCGCGACGTGTCAGGGTAGGAGGTCTGTCCACCTCCGACCCTCCCCTTCCCCAAAGATCCGATGTCGTGTTTTTTTTTCTACGCGGGGTCCCCTGGAGGTCCCGACCCCTTCCCCGGGGCAGCTTTTTCGTCCTGAGCTGCTTTTTGACGGTCCTGGGGCCCGGCGAGGGTCCCGAGAGGCCAAAAAGGGTGGAAAACCTCCGTCTTGATTTTTTGATTTTTTCAATGCGTTGGATCTCTGGCTGGCGAGGCCTCGATCCGCGGCTCCTCGCTCGATCGAGCCCGAGGCTGGCCGGCACTCCCTCCGGAAGGCGTCGCGGCCGCACGCGCCCCGCCGGCACGAGAGAGCCGGACGCCGCCCGCCGCGCGCAGCCTATATATATAGAGAGAGAGAGAGAGAGAGCATATATGGGCGTTCCCGGGGGGGGGGTCCTCGCCGGGGCGCGCCGGCGCGCCCTCGCGAGCCCCTGGCAGCTCGGGTGGGGCGTGTCCTCCTGCTGCAGGGGTCTTTGGGGCGAAAAAGCCTTGGAACAAATGGCCAGAACATATATTCAGACACTGCAAACAAAGAGAGAGAGAGAGAGAGCAGAAGTCCCAACAACTACTCGCACGATGCTCCCCCCCGACTGTTTCAGGAGTATGTTTGAACTCTCCTCCTGCGGAGGGACACGCCCGACTTGACCCTTGTAGTTCCCCGCGCTCTCAAACTTCCTCGGGGTCCCGGCGTGCCTCCGGAAGCTCGCCGGCGCTTCCCGCGCGACTTCTCCGGAGCCGCGAGCGGCTCAAAACGGACTATAGGAGGGCCCCGAGAAGCCTCCGACCTGCAACCCAGGCACGGTGCAGCAAGCAGAAATCAACTAGATAGCTAAGAAATAACTATATAATTAAAGTAAAATTTAACTCTAGATTTTAGAAAATTAGAACTCTAATTTAACTCTAAAAGTTAATTAATTAGGAATTAGTTAAATTTTATCTACAAGTTAACATCTAACTACAGTTATAAGTGTAACTACGCAGATGTTAAGAGGGTGCAGCAAGCAGAGCTCAAACACCGCGAACCTTCGCCACCGGAGCCCTATAGACCCCCCATCCTGCTGCTGCATGTTTCGAGCTGCGTCGAGATCTGTGTTCCTTCCGGGGGCCAAAACTGCGGGGAAACGCCTGTTATGAATGGAGAAATCGCAGCGCCAGGAGGCGCAGACCCCCGCAGTCGTGACTTTCTGGAGTTTTGGGCCCCAGAATTTGAGCAGGGACCGACCGTCCCGGTATTCCTACAGTCATACCACGAAATGTTCCTAGAACCCAGAAGTGTTCTAAGCACAAAAACCATGTTCTTAGAACATATTCCCGATGCGTGAAAACAAACCAGTCCCAACCAGAAATCTTCTAAGGCAATGTCGTGGAAACCACAAAAGGTTCTCAGAACTGTGATTCGTAGGGCTGTAGGCGAACCGGGACGCTTCGCCACTGCTTGAAGAATTCTGGACCCCTGCCCCGGGACGAGTTTTTCGGTCCCGAGGCACGGCGAGGGCCCCCAAGGGCAGCAACAAACCACGCCGGCCGCTGTGATCCCAGCTGCTCATGCTGAATAGTTCGAGTAAGGGATCGGCAGCATAATTGATGTGCGAAGTGTTCGTCGAATCCACGAGAAAATCGTAGAATGTGCCGTAGATCTATGAGCATCAGACGTGCTTTTCGCAACTCCGATGAGAAAACGATGTTTGGGGTAAAGCAATGGAGTAATCGATCCCCCATTAGAAGATATGTGTTGACGGTCCCGAGGCCCGGTGACGGCCCCCGGAGGCCGAAGCAGGCACAACAGAAACACCGCCGCGATCCTTTCACGGCGCGACTCGGGCGTTGGCAGGGCTGGGCTTCGTGGGACCTGGTTTCGCGATGTGCACCGGGGGACGACCCCCCCCGCCCCATTCCACGAACCGGAACAGCCGTCACCCGAAAAGAACAGCTACGGCAGACCTGGTTTTAGGTCTGGCATGTCCCCCTACAGGGGGATTTTGGACGAAAAATAAAACATCCGCCGACCCTGTCGGCGTGTGTGAGGGGTTTGTCCGTTCAAGTCGTCATCTCCGTGATTCGTTGGTCGTCGTCTCTGTCGTCCCCTTTCCCTGCTTCCCCCTTTCCCTGGGCTCGTCGAAGCCCCCCCCCTTACCCAGGGACCTCCTCAGCGCGCCAGCCAAGGCGAAGTTGAGCAACGTCGTAATTGAGTCGAGGGGAAGCCCCTTCCCTTCGATCCCTCCCCCGCCGGGGGGGTCCCGGGGGGGGGCCCCGGGGGGGTGCTGCAGTCGAAAACGCACTGGTAAGCTTAGGTATGTGTTACGCCTTAGGCGTTCCCATATCCCAGGCTTTGGCTCATATCGCATGAGCAAGAGAGCGAGACGAAGCATGGGATCTGGAGTAAAGGATAGAAGGGGCATCTTCAATGGAAAAGGTATTTTCCGATCTCAGATACAAGTCGTGCGCCTCGGTGAGGCACAGTCACATATTAGGCCGGGCCCGGCTTGAGCCAGGCACGGCAGCGGTGCATGTTCGATATATACCTCGCCTTTAACCTTCTCCGTTTAAAGTCGGAGGGGGAGGAGACGAGCAGGCACCGCACTTCTACATTACACGGAAAAACAGTGCTAGGCAACAGCGGCTGCCTACAAGGCAAGGGCGCGCGAATAGCCTCGCTACCGGCGAGTTTCCTCGCTACTAGAGCGCACCTGCATGCGGGTTTCCCCGCTAGCTCGGGAGGCAGGGCCGTCCTGAGACGACCTGCCCGCCCTATACGGAGTATGTTTCTTCAGCTCGTGCTTGAAGGATTGCTGGCCGGCCATTACTTGTAGGAGCAACGCGCGGTCAATACTACCTTTGGTATGACCATCGGCAGTCATATCCCGCGTGTCACACCATTGAACGCTTTCAACGATTCCGCGCTCCATCATCTGGCGGATCCAGCTAATGTGCCCAAGCAGAGTACATTCTGTGGGCTTCTTCAGATCTTTGCTAGACAAAGACTTGAAGACAGACTCGGCATCAATAGTCAGAGTGACTTTGATACATAGACCACCCATTTCCAATATGTTCTTTAACTGTGTGGGGGTCAATGGTCCCGAGTGTAGCTCGTGGAGCGTTACAATGGTCGGGTAGCAGTCTTCCAAGTTGTGGGCTGCTGCCAGTGTTTCCGCAGAGTAGCTCGAACGCACCTGCAGTCGATGAGACTTGCAGTATGCGTCCACCAGGTGCACGACGGGTTTCCCCGCTTGCGTGTG